CAACATTTTAGAAGATCCAAGAATTGAACACGTTTAATGAACTGCGCGCTCAGCTCCGTGCTTTCCATACTTTGTTTCGATAATTGGCTATATTCATCATAATTCTGCGAAGTCCGAATTATTCAGCCTTATTTTATAGAAGCTAAGAAAAAATTTCATCATAGGAGAGAAGGAGCCTTGTATTCAGATCAGAAAGAATTCTAAAGATGGGGCACCTTTCCCTGGAATAATCTGTTTTTGGTACTTGCTGACTTTTAATGAGTTTTCATTCTAACTTGTAGATTAATTTGTTGTTCCTGTGTTTAACTTGCCTTTGTAAGCTCTGTGAAAGTTGGAACTCAAACTTGTACATCTGTTCAGGATGCTGCTCTTTCAATCACCATACATTTTTTGAGCACTGAAGGAGGGGATTTGTGCTGGCTGCTGAGGATTCAGTAGTGAACACGTGCACCAGACAAGTGAAAGGACAATTCGAATAACTGTTAAGTGCTAAGATGGGGTTAGTTTGTGGGAGCACAGGAGGGAGAGTGGAATACAGGTCAGAGAGGAAAAGGTAGTCTGTTAAGATGGTTTGATTTAGCCACCCTGGAAGTGATGAGTGGTAAACATAGAGCAGGGGTTGGCAAACTTTATAAAGTGCTGTAAAAGTTACACATATCAAGAGAAGTCACTCTTGTCAGACCCAGAAATTTGTAGCCCAGAGACCATGAAGGAGGGGATCTCATGTTGTGATAAGAACTGTCTCAAGGACTTTTTAAGAATAAAAAACAACGCCTGTGGTCCCAGATACTCCGGAGGCTGAGGCAAGAGAATCGCCTAAGCCCAGGAGTTGGAGGTGGCTGTGAGCTGTGTGACGCCATGGCACTCTACTGAGGGTGATAAAATGAGACTCAGTGTCTATAATAAATAAATAACAGAACCCACAACAGATTTCTTCACATCCTTCGCACAGCCCATGCTTTGCACGACTTGCTTATTTTGGATATATGCACTTATTTCTGTGACAAGATCTATTGCTAGACTGGCTCAGCGCCTGTGGCTCAAGCGGCTAAGGCGCCAGCCACATACACCTAAGGTGG